TCAGTTATTTAAACTGTAGTGTTTGCTTTAGAAACTGAATTAACCATTTTATTTAAATTTAAGTGGACAATGATCAGATGAGGGTGGGCGACTTTATTAATACGAAGCGATTAACAGTGTCAAGGCACAGAGTTAGCATTTGGAGGCGCTAATGACATTGATTAGGAAGTCAGACAAATTGCTAATGAACCCAGCAGTTGACTTTTGAAACAGAAAGTGACCTAAATCTGTCTTGTTGGACCAAGACCCTAATTAAAGCTATGACTCAGAAGCTCACAGACAAGTAGCTTGAGACATTGAACTCATTGTCACTTGGAACAAGGGAGTTGAATACAAGAAGGCTGTTGGTGAGGTCTTGGATTCCCCAGGCTGCTGGTGATTCACATACCTGTAGCTGCAGTGCCCTCGTGTGGCGAAAGGAGCCCTGACACCTTGACTCCATGCAGTCCTGGGCCCTTTTCCCTTCCCCAGACAGACGCTGCACTGGTCACCAGCGGGAGGTTTGCCACTTGCTTCCCTTGCAATTGCCCTGTTTGAACAGGGTTTGTTGTAAGTCGCATGGTGTGTGTGACCTCGGCTTTTACAAAGCTTGCACGGCTCCTGGGCCAACTGATTGCTTGGAACATGGAGTTTATTTCCACAGAAGCAGTTTCCTGAAGGATGACCGGGCATCTGTAGCTGTGGTCATACTGGGTGGGGGATGTCTGGGTTTGAAGACTCATTTGGCTCTGGAACACCAATTGTGCAATGCTTAATCATTTCTATAGGCCCGAGAGAGGAGCTAGTTGGCTTTCGAATATGGAATGGATCATGATGTCATAGCCAGTCGTAGAAGGGGAGATTAGATAGCGCTCTTCCCTGCTCTTGCTGTCCCCTCTGTAGAAACTTAGGTCCCTCTCAGGCCCCGAGAGAGTCAAAGCCACCAGCTAAGCAGGAGTGAACTCTTTTCCTGACTTCTCTGCACATCAGTTAGACTTAGGAGCTCCAGAAACCTCGCCTGATTGAGGTCAGTTTCCAAGAGCATTCTTTGCGTCTGCGTGTAGATCAGGTGTTCTCAAAGCTGTTGTAGGTTTATGGGGCGTGTATTAAGACCCCATCCTCAAACGCTCCCTGTTTCTCCCTAGAGACTTAGACAAAGGATTGTACTGTTAGATTTAGGATTAGTGGGTCTCAGCAGAACAGGCACAAACCCTCAAGATAAGGAACCCAGACTGTGTTCTTTCTGAGACAGGGCCTTGTTTAAGCTGGGCTGGCCTCAGCCCACTGTGTATCCAAGGGTGACTTGAGTCATGGAATTCCTGATTCTTGTGCTGCTATCTGCTGTCTCCCAAGGACTGAGATTACAGGCATGGGGCATCTCACTAGGTTCCCAAGTTACTTGTTATTAGTAAAAAGGACCATAGCTTTTATGTTGATCTATATAAGCTTGTGAATGTGTGATGTTAAGTATGCAGGTGTAGGTGTCGTATTCAAGGTACTGTAAATGTGCTACCCCCAAACACGATACTCTGGCATATTGATTATTTTGAGCTGAAGATGTTTGAAAAGGCAAATGCAGGGGATCATGCTGATACTTGAGTCTGTTTCTCCTGTAGCCCAGGCTAGTGTGTCCTTACCAGAGACGGGGACTGTGGGGTCTGCACAGACACCGCTGGAAGCTGATCGTTCTGGGCTTAGGCATGTGTCCCCTGTCCTGTCACTCTCCCACCGCCTGTGCTCTTTGTCCACGCAGGGTGTAGCTATTCAACTCCAGCTGTGTCTTTGAGCCTACTCTCTATTATAAAGGCATGGGCCGTATGAAGTTTACATTACATTATACACACACGCGCATGCGTGTGCGTGCACACACCACACACACACACACACACGCTTTTCTCTTTATTTCTGTTTCATGTTAACTATCAGACTTAGCTTAAAAGTTCCAAGAGGATAGGAAATCTTTTGCCTCCTATAAGATGTGAGCCACATAGTCTGTATATGTGGGTGTATGCATATAGCTGCCCTTCATAGATTATACCAATATAAATTATGTTTTACTGCAGATAAAACATAATTTAGTGTCTGGAGAGAGGGCTCGGTGGTTAAATGTTTGTTGTGCAATCATAAGGAGCCTGGCATCTCACACACACCAGGAACTCCTGCTCTGAGGGATTCAAAGCCCTCTCCTGGCCTTGGAATACAAACAGATACAGGCACCCCCCCACACACCTACATGTACATACATTCAACATCTACATGTACATACACTCACACATATAAACAAATCTCTTTTTTTATTTTTCAAGACAGGATTTCTTTGTAGCTTTGGAGCTAAATATTTTTTTAAGAATGTTTTAAATACTGGGGGAAACATTTTACTGAACTGTACACTTTTTGGTTATTGTTTCCTGAGTGAAACAATGTACCTATTACTTATTCCTATCATTTTATCACTTGGTATGGTAAGTGAACTAGAGATGATTTAAAGTAGGAATGTGTGCATAGGTTAAGAGACAGTACCAGGCCATTTTATACAAGAGATAAGTACTTGAGGATTTGGGGTTCTGAAGGGGTGCTGGAAACAATCCGCTTTTGGACACTGAAGGATACTGAAATGTGTACCAGTGACCGTATGTCTGTAAACCATATGCAATGTTATGACACAGCATGTTTTATGTAAGTGCACATGTATGTGTGTTTATTTTGTGTATGTGTCTATGATGTGTTTCCTTTTTAAAAAGTTACTTTTACTTTTTTTGTGTATGTGTAAGTGTATGTGTACCATGTGTGTGCAATGCCTGTGGAGGCCAGAAGGGAATTCGACATCTTGATCCAAAGGCAACAGTAGGTGTAGCTTGAACCTAGAGACCTCAGAGCCCGCCCCCACAGTGCCACACTTCCTCCAACAAGGCCACACCTACTCCAACCAAGTCGCACTTCCTAACAGTGCCACTCCCAGTGAGCTCACCGTGGCCAATTACATCGAATCCCCCACATTCCATTCCCTGGCACCCAAAAGCTTGTATTGTAGCAAATATCATAATGCAAAAAGCATTTAGTTCAGCTTCAGAAGTCCCTATAGTCTATTAAAGTTCCAACACTGAAAGTTTCTCCTGAGATTCATGCAATCTCTTAACTGTTATCTCCTATAAAATCAGAATCAAAAGCAGGTCACATACTTCCAAACTGGATATACGTTACCTTTCCAGAACATAGGGAAGGGAGCATAGTGAGAAAATACTGAACCAAAGTATGACCAGAATCCAGCTGGACCAACTCCAAATGCTACATCTCCATGTCTGATGTCAAAATGCTGCTCAGATCTCTAACTCCTTTCAGTTTTGTTGACTGCGACACCCCTCCCTCCCTCCCTCCCTCCCTTCCTCCCTTCCCCTCTCTCTCAGGCTCCACTCCATTAGCAACTTTCTTCAACAGGTAACCGACATCTTGTGTTCTCCAAGGCAATCCAGGCTTCACCTTCACAACTTCATCCAGTGGCCTCTCTAGGCCTCCATGCAGGGACTCCCCTGACACACACCTGACCTCAGCAGCTTTCCTCAGTCACAGAGGTATATTCCATAACTCCTTTCTTCTGTCCTTAGAGCCAGAACCACGTGGCCAAAGCTGTCAAGTTCTGCTGCTTACTGGGGCTGGATTATGGCCCCCTCATCCAATTACATCTTTCCCAGCTTTCAGTTTTCTTTTTCTTTCTTTTTTTTTTAACTTTTTTATTGATTTCATTGAGCTATACATTTGTCTCTGCTCCCCTACCCTCTTGTTCCGTCCCCTTCTACTCTCTCCCATGGTCTCCATGCTCCCAATTTACTCAGGAATTCTTGTCTTTTTCTACTTCCCATGTACATTAGATCCATGTACGTCTCTCTTAGGGTTCTCATTATTGTCTGGGTTCTCTGGAGTTGTGAATTGTAGGCTAGTTTTCTTTGCCTTATGTCTAAAAACCACTTATGAGTGAGTACATATGATGTTTGTTTTTCTGGGTCTGAGTTACCTCATTCAATATGATGTTTTCTAGATCCATCCATTTGCCTGCAAATTTCAAGATGTCATTATTTTTTTCTGCTGTGTAGTACTCCATTGTATAAATGTACCACATTTTTCTTATCCATTCTTCGGTCAAGGGGCATTTAGGTTGTTTCCAGGTTTTGGCTATGACAAACAATGCTGCTATGAACACAATTGAGCACATGTCCTTGTTGTATGGTTGAGCATCCTTTGGGTATATACCCAAAAGTGGTATTACTGGGTCTTGAGGATGGTTGTTTCCTAATTTTCTGAGAAATGGCCATACTGATATCCAAAGGGGCTGTACCAGTTTGCACTCCCACCAGCAATGCAGGAGTGTTCCCCTTTCCCCACATGCTCTCCAGCCTAAATTGTCATCAGTGTTTTTGATCTTGGCCATTCTTACAGGTGTAAGATGGAATCTCAGAGTTGTTTTGATTTGCATTTCTCTGATGGCTAAGGATGTTGAGCATTTCCTTAAGAGTCTTTCAGCCATTTTAGATTCATTTGTTGAGAATTCTCTGTTGAGGTCTGACCCCCCCCTTTTTTTTTTTACTGGATTATTTGTTCTTTTGATGACCAATTTCTTGAGTTCATTGTTTATTTTGGAGATCAGATCTCTGTCTGATGTGGGGTTGGTGAAGATCTTTTCTCATTCTGTAGGCTGTGAAGGCCTGTTCTTGCTGATTTGACAGAATCAGTGGTTGAGATTGTGAATCAAAAGGAAAATGCCTGGGGCTGGGAGGCAGTGCAGCAGTTGAGTGTTGGACTCCTGTGCATGGGCATTGGGTTCTGTGCTCAGTGTTGTAAAAGAATTACTTTTTTTTTTTTTAAAGAGAGTCATGTATCCCAAGCTTACCTGCGTGCTGTCCCTCTTGGTGCTTTCCAAAGTTCTCTGTGTCCTTTTGTGTCTCCCTCCTTCCACTGATGTCATACCTAGTACCGGATCAAGATGAAGGAAGCCTGGCTCTAAAAGACACTTCTTCCTTTTCTTCTAGGACACTTGGGATGAGCTCCTAATTGGTGATGTCGAGATGAAAAGGGTGCTGAGCTGCCCCAGGTAAAGACTGAGTTTAGACATAGCCTCTGGAGTGTGGGACGCACTTTGATTTGGATCCACCGTCTAATCGTGGGTCTTCGGCAGGTGCATCTTGACGACGGTGGACCCAGTCACAGGAATCATAGACAGGAAGGAGCCACTGGAAACCCTGAAGAGGTAGGATGCCAGTGTGTGCCCTGTGTTGACGTCACCTGTGCGCCAGGTGCTTATGTCCTAACTCCCAGGTGCATAGGTCCTAACTCCCAGGTGCTCATGTCCTAACTCCCAGGTGCTCATGTCCTAACTCCCAGGTGCATAGGTCCTAACTCCCAGGTGCTCATGTCCTAACTCGCGGGTGCTCATGTCCTAACTCGCGGGTGCATAGGTCCTAACTCCCAGGTGCTCATG